GATCTCACTTACATCTTCATTTTGTTTTGGTATCCCTGAAACCACTACGTTTCTTTCCTTTTCTCTGCTTAAGAAGATTCACTCTTTCTTCCATTCCTTTCAATTTCACCTTCAGTTTTTGGTTTTCTTACTGAACAATGCCGTGCAATGTATTTTCTGACTGCATATTCCTTTGAGCAAGCGAACTGCTCTTTTCTGTGATAGGAATATAGTTTCTGGATTATTTACTGATGGGGACAGACCCCACAAGAGAATTCCATTGTTTTCCGTCGGATTGCTGAAATGATTGCACCTGGTTTTTCTGATGTTCAGCGACAGTTTATTTGTATGAAAACAGCTGTCTAACATTTCCACAGGTTCTAAAGTAGATCCCTGTGCAACACCATACTTTATTTAACTCTTTGATCTGTGATCTAATGACGTGGCAGTTTTGATTTTTAGTTTCTCAAACCATGCACTTATTGTCCCACAAAATCCATAGGAAGTCAATTTTGATAATAATTTTTTTTGATTGACACAATCGAACGCTTTTTCCAGATCCAGACCCACCATTACAATTATTTCATTTGAGTCTCTTGCTTCATGTATGCGCCCCATGCAATTTACGATAGCGTCTGCTGTGCTTTCATTTTTCTAATAGCCAAACTGATATTTGTGTAAAATATGGTATTTACCTATGAATGTTTTTAATGATTGCTTCCATTATTTTTGAAACGGTTGACAACACAGCGATGGGTCTGAAGTTTGAGGGTTCATTGTTGTCACCACCTTTGTGAATTGGAATGATCCTTGATATCTATATTGCTTGGGAAAATACCACAAATCATTTATGGCCGACACCATCAGGTCTTGGCACTGCTCAGGAAGCCTTTTCATAAATTCTAAGTCTAATTCATCAATTCCGGTGTAAAGGTGTAAATGTTACTAAAATCCTAGTTAAAATCTCTTAAGTTATGCATAACGAATCCTTATAATCGTATGGCTTTATTGGTTACTCATTCAATATGTTTGCAAAAATTCAATCATCATCCAGAAAAATGCTGGTTCAATTCCATTTATTAAGTTATTGAAAATATGTGGATTTTTAGATTTATGAAAAGTCATAACTTTGCACTTATTCTTTTTTTAGAGCCAAATTACTATCTTCACACCTCGCTTCACACCAATTAAAGAAATTGTCAAGTTCCCCGTGTCAAATTTCAAATTGGTGAGACTAAGTTTTTATTTCATGCTTTAATGGCACCTTCAAATGATTTTTTCATTCTCCCCCCTACGAAAGTAGATTTTTTTATCTCGCATAGGCGAGCGAAAGCAAAAGTGACGCTAGTAGTTGCTTTCAATTTCGCTACTAGTATGTTTCACTTCCGCATGCCTATTCACGATTTTTGAAGGGGAACAGAGCTGTCAGAAAAAAAAGTATCTTAGTTACTTAAGAGTATCTTAGTTACTTTATAGTATCTAAGATACTGTATCTTAAATACTTTTTATTTTTTGGCAAAAGTATCTAGTATCTTAGTTACTTTCCAAAAGAATCTGTAACTTGTATCTTAAAAAAGTATCTTGGATACCAAAAAGTATCTTAGACACTTAGAAGTAGGTAGACACTGAAAAGTCTAATCTAAGTTAACGAAAAGTATAAGTTACCGTGAAAAAAGTCTTGAGACGTTTACCCAAAAAGATAAAACTGGTTCAAACTTCAAACAACATCAAGCTTACGTTTTATGTATTATTTATTTCCACTCGCCCAACCGTTCTGTGAATAAGTTAGTGTACATCACTCATTTAACAAAAGAGTTGATTGACGATTTTATACTTCAATAGTTCACGTCGCAATTTATCCATTATATTCTATAAAAATGTAACTATGATTTGTGATTGTAACTGTGATAACTTTCTATGTCCTGCGATTTTGAACCTCATTCTCGAATTTGGGATTTTTAAACTATAAAAATTCTGGTTTTTAAAATTGAATCCGAAACCTGTGGCCCAAATAAACTGAACAGCAATAGCTTTGGAAGTAATAATAAAGTATCTTAATAAGTATCTTATTAAGTATTTTAAAAAGTAACTTAAGATACGTATTTGAGATCCTTTTTTGAATGAGTAACTAAATACCCAAAGTAACTTCAGATAATTTTTCCAAAAGTAACTTATCTTGTAACTAGATACTTTTTAAAAGTATCTTTGACAGTTCTGAAGGGGAAGAATGAAAAGTTTGATACATTACACGCTGCAGAAGCCTTTTTAGGTGCTCGGAGGTATTCAAATATATTTGAATTCTCCTCGCACCTTGGAATGGAAAACTATTTTTTTCTCAGCTCTATTGCTGATTACAGGGTGTCCCCGTTCAACTGGTCAGAAATATAAGGGTATATAGAAGAACCCTAGAGAAGTAGTTTGAGATAGGACACTGATGGTCGGAAGTGCGTCCTTTGCAAAATACAGGGTGTTGAAATTTCACAAAAAATTCGAATTTTACCTCTGTATTAAAAACGCTTTTAGCGATTTTGATGAAATTTTCAGGAGTTAAATGATAGGTGGTGATGAGAATTTTTTAGGGAATTGCAGTTGATTTGATTTTTCCAGGGATGGACTTGCAACACATGTATTAAATTGTTTGTAGAAAAAATGGTACGCCACTGTTTATCGATTTTTTTTTTTTTAATAGGTAATCATTTAATTTCAACCAGGGTTGGCAGGATATATATCAGCGATAAATATCCTGATATATATCTTCATATATTCATGATATTTATGCTATAAATATCATGATATATATCAATATTATGTGTATGGCCTTCTTTTCTTATTTTATAGTTTTATTATTTTATGTTGAGAAGTTTAACGGCCGTAGTTGTATTGTGTGAGAAGGAAATCACAAGGATCTCGGCCGAAACAGTCTATATTACGTCAGTTATCAATTATTATTTTATTTATTTTTATTTACGTATATAAGAAATATCAAGTTTTTTAGGGCAAGTATTATGAAACTATTTTGACAGCGAGATAACTAAATGTTAACTTCTGGAGTTACTATGAGAAATACCGTCATTCCAGAAGTTAACTTCTAGTTATTCTGTCAAAATAGTTTTATAATACCGGCCCTAAGTTGTCTTTTTTTTGTTGTTGTTGAATCACGGCCTAAGGCAAACTTAAGTAGTATAAATGACATAAATGTTTTCATATTCCTAAACTCGAATTTTTATTTACCTACTACACTTTACGTTTTTATACATATTATAGGAGATAGGAGCACAATTTTTTTTATCGCCATACCAACTTTGCATGTTTTTAACATTTTGTTAAATTTACCATAAATTTATTTTGAATTTTAATAATATAGATAACAGAAAACAGATGAACTAATTTAAGTAATTAAAAATATAAATAAATATCCAAATTTTGATATATATCCGATATATATCGATATATAAGTATCGGATAATTGGATATTTGGATATTGGATATAAATATCATGATATTTGCCAACCCTGATTTCAACAAAAAAGGACCTATATTTCCGGGTGAGAAAATGAAATCCATGCAAGAACCTTAAAACTTTTATTGCCCTAAAATTCTGACCCTGGACAAATCAAATCAACTGTAATTCCGTAAAAAGTTGCATCACCACCTATCATTTGAATCCTGGAAATTTTATTAAAATTGCTAAAAGCGTTCTTGATACAGAGGGAAAAATTCGATTTTTTTGTGAAATTTCAACATCCTGTATTTTGGAAACGACGCCCTTCCGACCATCGGTGTCCTATCTCAAACTACTTCTCTATGGTTCCTCTATATACCCTAACATTTTTGACCAGTTGAATGGGGACACCCTGTACCTATACAAAATAAATAAATGAATATAAGGTGTTTTTTTTTCAAAGCTGCACAAACTCCCTATATTATAGTTCCAAATTAGTACCATAGATTAGTACTAGGGTAACTGGTAAATACCAGAAATTGAAAATACCAAGAATCATTCAATTTGACAATAAAAGATATGTTGGTCTCTATAGGAACAGTTGTAGTTTCTGGCGATAACCCAAAAATACATTATAAAAAGAACTCTCATATACAAGCAACTAAATTCGTTCTGAACAAAGCATAATGATTGTTTTTCAAAATCTGCAGTATAACGAAAAATCCAGAACATGGCTGATGATTGCAAACCGCAACCTCGACAAATTGAAAACCTCACTGAAAACTAATCTAACTCGCGATTATGGGCTTTGTAACATCAATAACTATTTCGTTAATTTCAATTTTTTCTGTATCCATTTGGGAAATACTTATCAATCCCATTTCGCATATTTGTACCTCAAAACAAATATGTGAAACGTCCCTTTTTTGTTATCCAAAAAGACAACTCATTTTGTTAGTTTCAATCCGATTGTAACTTAATAATTAGGCTCAAACTAAGGCCAACTAAATCTAGCCAAGTTTCCATGCAGCTTCTACATTTTCACAGAGTGGAAGAAAAAAGACATGTCATTGTAAGGTATTGTTTCACTCTGTTTTTCTTTTTTCATTCTGTTTTTAGCTGTCAAATTTTTGTTTATTCCAGGCTCTTGAATTTTCTTTATGATTTTCTTCTCTGAATAAGAAAATAAAGAAGATTTCGTAGCCTGGAATAGAAAAATAAAGAAAATTCAAGATCTGAAATAGACAAAAAAATATGAGAAATGTAGGGAAAAATATTTCATTTAGTTTTTTCTTCCTTGACTCAGCTAAGTTCGTGAATAGGTAAGATGTTACATTACTCATAAAATTCAAGGAAACTAGGGTAAAATAATTTAGTATTTCTTCAGGCATTTCTATTCCAGACTCTCAAGTTTAATACGCATAGAGTATAAAACCAATTATTATACAGTATAATTCCGAATTCTGCATGTTATTATAATTAGATGGTCATTTTGTCTTATTTTGGTTTATTTTGCCAATCTACAGGCCTAAAATAATCTGATTTTTTTTTATAAAAATATGTTAATTACTTATTCCAGAGTCACCATGGAGGAAAAGGACTATAGAAGGTCTAAACTTGGACATAAAAGAGATAATAGAAGCAAAACGTCCCAGACTTTGCTATTACCGTTTGGAAAGTGAAAGCTCTAAAGCTACCGATGATGACACTGAAAGCATTGCCAGTGTCCAAGCTAAAGAGACCGGTAGGACCCTGCATATTTAAGAAGATTGTTGCACCAAGGTTTCAAGAAGATTGTAAATTTAATTGCGAATATTTCAGATTTTGTCGGAGACACTTCAGACACTGAAAGTAAAAATGGAACAGGCACCGAAAATTCGGAGTTTGAGTATGAAGTTGCCAGCTTATCGGCGAGCGACAAAGATAATTTTGATTTTTCAACAACAGATTCAGAAGTAACTGAAGTAAGAAACTATTGCCGCTATTGAAAATTCCTATATTAACTTTATGTCTTTATAGGATATGATCTTAGTTGCTGCAGCAGCCGCCATTTGCGACAGTTCCCTGGAAACTTGGATAACTGATGTGGAAGACTCGGATAGTTCATCGGAAGAAATGTCATTTGGAAAGACAGACTTTGCCACTTGTGTGCAGTGCAAGGGTGAAAACCGCAACCCGCTTTACAGATACTGTGAAAAATGTTTTCAGGTAGATATTACTAATAATTTTAGGTTCCTTTTTAGTGTATCTGCAGGGTTGTTGTCATTAAGCATATTTTGGGGTATAAATAATTATCTTCTTTGGAACGTTCAAGTTTTAACATGTTCTGTTGGATGATTCAGCAAATTTGTTTGTGATAAATGTTGAACATTGCCTTTCTGATAAGAATTCATGCACACTAATTATTCATGGATGATAAAAATATTTTGGGTTCAATTATTTCTTGGTATCTATTTATACCGTTGTTGTTCTAATTATTTAATTTTTTAATTATCTTTTAAAGCCTCTGAAAATATTAAATCTAAAATTCCTATGTAGGTATTCCTTATCTATTTTTCTGGAGAAGCACCTTAAAATTCTTCCTCAATCTGTAACAGTTGGTCCTTTAATCGGTGTCTCTACTTATAATGATATTTTTGAAAAATGTTATACATCAATAAGCATCATCACGTTTTTCTGTTTTAAAAAAATAATTAAGGACAATCTCAATCAAAACTTTCATTGCACTATGCATTCAAAACAATAGAAATACATTTCAAACATAAGGAACATTAAGGGCATAATTATTATTAATTTATATGTATCTCAATATGGAAATCATACTATATCTTTCTGCTCCAGCATCCTCAAAAGTCTGAGGTTCTCAATAATGATTTTATTGTTACAGATATCTTTATCTGAGCTCCCTATTTCGAGCATATTATACTCCATTTATAAAGCTCTTAATCAATCTTCCATGCCGATCCATAATAAGGACCTAAATTTAGTTACTAGAAAACTTTGCACTGGTATTAGAACTTGGGGTATCTATATTTCAACAAAAATATAGATTCGCTATGAAATATAAGTGTGTGGACTTTAAATAAAAAGACAAAAAAGTGTTTTATGAGCTGCTCATGAGGCTGAATTATTTTAAACGAACTTTTCTACAATCTGAAAGGGTGGACTGGGCTTTCAGTAATTATTTTTTTCAATAAGGACAGAAAATGACATCTCTCTTCATAAGCTGTTTTTAAGTTCCCGTTTAATCAGGTAAAAATTTCTTTAATAAGCAAAGTGGGTAAGATTTTTTTTTTTTTTTTCTTATACATATTAATCGTATTATTGAAGGCTGCTCAATTCAATTTTTTGTTTCCATTATTAGGAAGCAGATTTTTTTTTTCGCATTAGGTATCTAAGCTGTTATTATTTAATAATGATTTGGAACCTTCAGAGAAGTAAGTACATACTCTTATTTTATAGAAGTAAGGAGTAACAAGACTTCTCTTTAGCAACTGATCATTTTGCGTTCCCTGGCAAATTGTATCTTAGCTTTTTGTTATTAGGATGTCTAGAGAAGTGGCACAAGACTATAGGGTGGGGAAGGTAAGAAAAAGGGACACTATCCAATTAGAGCTTTCTACGGGCTATCGACCCAGAAAACTGACTATAAGTCCCTGTGCATGGCCAAGAAGCCTCGCTTCTCATCAGACTTTTCTTTCATTACTCTAGAAGTTTTTTAGAAAAGACAATAGCAGGTAAGGATTATAAAAAAAAAAAATATTTACTTTTCCTCCTTCTAAGCAAATCTCATGAAGGTAAGTATTTTTGGTCCACAAATTACAAAAACCTGACATATTTCAGCAGTCTTTAATAATATGTATTTTATTTTTTTAATTTATTCCAGCCTCGAGTAGATAATGATAATGCACCGGCAACAATGATGATAACTTCTTACTTCTGTGTGTTTGAACTAAATAAACAATACCTTGTTTTTATGATTTAACAGAGCTGCAGACAGTGCCACAAGCGTAAAACATTCAAGTGTTTTCCATTATGCCAGTCTTGTCATAAGGTGCACATTTTTTTCTTTATTGTACTTTCATCTTTTTAGTTGTATATGATAATGTAATAAATCCTGAGTAAACAAAAGTTAGCGTTATTTCTTATCCAGGGAAAATATGCTGGTAAATCTATCCATATTATTGTTTATCCTCAGTACTTATTACATATTATGTAATATTCATATTATTAGTTCATGACATTGTGAATTTATTTTCATTTAGGGCCGGTTTATTCATCTTCTGATAAACTGTCAGGTATGCAAACTGACGGATAAAAACGCAATTTGTAATCTCATTAGTCGGCCAGTTAGCCGCCGACAAATAGAATTATAAAACGGTGAATTTATCTTGCAAATAGTTACCAGCAAGTTTATCTGAAGATCAATAATCTGGGCCTTATTCAGAATAACACTAACACATAAAATATCATTTGTATACATGTAGATTTCAAATGAAAAAGAACAGTTGGAAGGTTTTGTTTTTATAATTCATTAGAATTCACTGTCTCTAAACTAAAATGCATTTTGTTTGTTTTATCCTGTCATGAAATCAAAAAAAAGCTCTTTGATTTTTTTCATTTTCATGAATAAAATGTAATTCATTAACTTTATATTATTGTCACGGCACTGGGATGCGTGACAGAAATCTTGGGTTCTTTTATTCCAAAATCAAAGTCCAACTAACACAACAATAATTTATTCCACGTTACTATACACTCCGATATTAATTACTTCACTAATTAACTCAAACAACTAAACTCTTTACAACTCTCAAGAATAATCACTATCTAAATCATATCACAGTCAATCTTAAACTTAAACTACTAACTAATGCCTACCTTTATATAGTATTTTCTCGATTTCAAGTTAAATTCTGTACATGCTGGCGAACGCATCACACTACCCTCCTCTTAAGGTTCGCGCCCATGATATTTCGTCTATATGTCCAAATGTACAACTTTCACCTTACTCCTGGTGTTGCGCTGAACTGTATAAACCAAATAATTGATCCTCGTGATAATTCTGCAGGGTCCTTCCCAAGCTGAGGACAATTTCGGCGACACTACTTTCTTTTTTATTGGATTGTACAGCCACACCAAATCACCTTCTAGAAATCCAGCTGAATTGGCCTTTAAGTCGTATCTGGTCTTCCAAGAGCCGCGTGATCTGTTCGAATTAGAAACTTACGTTGGTAGAGATAGTCATGGGTGTGGTCGACTGCTTTTACTATGGCAAGCAACTCTATTCTGGTGACACAATAATTTCGTTCCAACTTTGATAAGGTTTTGCTATAGTACTCTACGACATGCTCTGGTGAATTTTGGATTTGTGAAAGGACAGCTCCAATACTGGTGTTGCTTGCATCTGTGTCCAAAATCAACATGTCTTTCTGATCAGGATAGGACAGGAGGACAACACTGGGCTTGTACATACATAATGCTCCTTTTAATTTCCTAAATTCGGAATCGCATTCTTGGGTTCAATTGAATGTTGATTTTTCTTTTGTTAATCGATGAAGCGGAGCAGCTATATTGGCGAATCCTTCCACAAATCTTTGATAATAACATAATCCTAGAAAACTCCTTAGTTCATGTTTGTCGCGTGGCATCTATCTTTCCTTCCATAACTTGTATGCCATCTTCAGATACCACGTGACCTAAGAATTCCACTTTTTTTTTTTTAATAAAAAACACTTATTTGGATTGAATTTTAAGTTGGCATTCCGGAAGCGGTCAAAAATTTCTTTCAGGTTATTGAGATGTTCTTGAAACGAATTTCAAGGAGCCCGAAAGAGTTGTTAATGTATCGCCTATCTTCAGGAGAGGAAAGCTGTCCTTGGTGACGTCATTGAGCTTACGGTAGTCCACACAAAATCTAAGACTTCGATCTTTCCTTGTAACCAATACTACTGGCGCAGACCATGGACCATTTCACTCTTCAATAATTCCCTCTTGAAGCATTCTATCAATTTGGTTCTCTACTTCCTGTTGTTTAGCTACTGGCATACGTTGTGGTAGTTGCCTATCGGTGTGCCAGTCCAGTTTTAATTTTGTGTTGAATTAAGCTGGTCCGTCCGGTTTGATTATCCATCACAAATATGTCTGCCTCTTTCAAGATGAAATAAGTAGCTTCTTGAAGTCTATCTGTAGATTTGCTTAACTGGCTCGAGAGTTCCAAGAATATCTCCTTCCTTTATTTTTACTGTTTCAGAAGAAACATTGGCACAAGAAATTTTCTGGTTTATCTTCAATAAAATTATGTGCTAGTGCAACGCAGCACCCAGGGTTTGTTTCGAATTTTCCACAAATGATCTCCTCAGTACTTCCTGGAATCCTCACTGGGGTTGTGGCCAGGATCTTAACGGCTTGGGATTCTTTTTGTGTAGTTAGGACAAATTCTTCATTACCAAATTTAAGGATCATCATAGAAGGATCGAAAGAGAAACCATCAAATCCATTACCAAAATAAAATCATCTTCTATATCGGCGACTAATGTTCTGTGCCTAAAGGTGGTAGATCCAAAAGTAAGCTGAACCATAGCCTCTCCTTGAACTGGTGCTGATTCGCCCGTGACTGTTCGTAGTGACAGCAGGTTTCTAGTGAGCGGTTGGATTGCCCGAAACTTGACTAATGTTCTTCTAATTATAGACTCAGCACCTGTATCAAAAGTAAAGGTTTTTAAATTCTCCATTAATTTGTCCTTCGAATTTCAATCCTCTATAATGATTTCCCAATGATTTTATGTAAACAACCCTGGGAGCTTCGTCATTACTAACCAGCATCCGCCCCCCTGTACTGGTTGGTTTGGGTTAGTTTTTGAAAAGCGTTGGGAACGATCCCTAGATGAGTTCTGGGAAGTAGTGTCCACACAGGATCTTTTAGGTCTCTATCAAGTCGCCTCTTTCCCTTCTTTCTTTGTTGTTAAGTTAAATCTTTGCAATCTGATATCATATAGAAGATTATGCATTTCAGTTGGGATTCTTGTGATTCTTCATTGCACACGTTCAAGCAGCTCTATATCCTTGCAGTAGTACGGATTCAAGACTGTGTGTGCGTACTCAAGTTTGGGCCTTATGTAGGTTGTATATACTTTTTTTATCATTTGGATAGAGTGATTGGTAAAAGCCGTTTTTACTAGGTACACCAACTGATTTGCTCTCTTCAC